AAGTGAGGGTGGGCAGACACATCGAACTTTCCCACGATATCAGAGAAATTCAGGAATGAAAATGACGTTACATACGAGGTTGATGCATTTGTGCATGTCGTACTAAGCAAGGTATAAAAACAGTTGCTTTATGAGGAATTAGTTCGTACCATTGAATATTTGACGCAATAGACAAGGTGTCGCAGAAACCGATGTTGCTATAACCAAGTTTTACTGTATTTAAAGAGTAGCTCATTGGCAGATTAAATAAAAAAAGCCTGTTTGAGGAGGAAATTGTGTAACATGACTGAATTCAGAATTCTATGGGAAGTGGGTTTCACACAGGAGTGAAGTTTTCCTGTACCATAGAAGGTCTTTTCAATCATCAGAATTGTTTTCTCATGCTGAGTAGATTCTCAGTGCTGAATTAATTTTCCTCTCCTGTCTTCATTTCTGTTGTATTACAATTTTTTAGCTACAGAGGTGTTGTAGACAGAACTTAGAAACATTTGTCATTTGGGTAATTTGCCTTTGACATTACAATTGTGTATTATTATCTTTCCTATGTATCTCTTATCATTTTTGACTCCAGCTTCAGTAACATCATGAAATTAAATAAATTTCATGCTGATACATTGTAATTTTTCCACATAATTGATATTTTAAATGGCATATATTTGTCCTGAAATGGAATGTAGATGCCACAACTACACTTAACTAGGTATATCTTTGTGTGTGCTGTTCTCTAACCCATTGTTTGCTGTTTGTTCCCACAAATTGAATTTTAATGTGAACTTTGACAGGTTTTAGGTTTTTTATGTGTTGAAGCAATTCCAACATTTTGTCATGCTTTGCAGTTACTGTCTTCAGAGTGAGATAAGTGGGAAGAGGAAGTGGATTGATATGTAGGTCTTGGAATGGGAGTAAGGGCTAAGGTCAGGAGCATTCTTCTATCGAACTGGAAAGGGCAGTGTGCCTAAGAAGAAGGGGTGGTGGAAGTATTTGTCTTCAAAGTTGAAATTGTGGGGTTGCTTTGTTTTGATGGCTTCTCTGATGTGGGGATGGCATGTATGAATGTTTGCTACTGCCTATTGTAGATATCCTACAGATGGAATGTTCCATGGCATTGTCCAGGTAGCGTGTAACCAAAACATATAGTCTGTTTGAAGGTCTGTGGAGTTTGGTGGTTAAGGAAGTCTGTTGGGGCATGTATGTGTGTCAGCATTTTGGTTTTATCAGGCTGGTTTCAGTGGCTTCTTCCTCAAAAACTCATGAATATATTGGCTAGAAGAAGGATGGGTGGGACTGCATGATGGTGACTTCATTATTTTTGTAGACTCTTCCTTTTGCACAAAGAATGTAATATTGGCAAAGAGTTTTGTTAGTGTGGTGAGATACTGTGGGAGGTCAGATTATGACATGGAACTCAAAACAGACTGCTAATTACCCTTCTTTGAGACAGTGATTACGTGTTCCTCAGTTTGTTTGGACATTGTCTACAAAAAGTCTACCCACAGGCAGCCTTGCAGCATCCACCAGTACGTCAGATCCATCGTGCAATGATAGTATGCATATGCAGGGCTTGTATTCTTTAGATCAAGTTGAGAAAATACTACATCAGTTTGAGACAAGTGCTTTTCTTGCACAGTAGCATGCAAGCTTCCTGATGTGTCTGAATCATAATGGTTGGCAGTGCCATCATGAACCAGCTTCTTAACAAAATCTGTCTCCCTCTCTCTGTCTGCCCATAGTAAAAAGAGACATAGCTCTTGAATTGAATATTTTCACATATAGTATTTTCTTAAATCTTTCATAAAAATGACATAAAGGAGATAAGTAAGACACTGTAGTGCATCTTGGAAAAGTGTCTGATATTAAACAGTTTGTTTACAGGGAAATTTTTGGTCTTATAGAGAAAATTCTTGTTTCTGTCTCAGTTCTTGAAACGTTTCCAGTTCTCACTTTGATTGGAACTGAAAATGTTACTCTTGCCCATCCTAGTACATTTTANCCGGTTAATCCGCCCCCGGATAATCGAGAGTTGACTGTACTGTGATAAATGCAGCCAGGCCTCTGAACTACATCACAACTTTATTCTCCAGCCCAGTGGTTACTCCCACAAGGACATTGCTGGAGCATAATAAAAAGACATTAAAGGGAAGGTGCATAAGTGAGACAATGAGACAGATTCCCCTTAACATTCAGGGAACAATAGACTGCATTACCAGGCTGTACTAGAAAAGAAAGATCCTCACCATCCGTAAAGCCTTCATAATGACCTGTATCAGACAAATCAAGGACAGACAAACCTTGATGCAAAAACTTGGTGTTTAGAAGGTCCCCTACACATGTAGCAAAGTGTACGAGTACATCAGTAATCCAGCCATCACTATCCCCACTAGAGCACTGGAGTGTATCAGAAATGCCAGGCTATAGAACCACAGTTGAGTGGTGACTGAACAGTCCACAAGATCAAATTTGTTTATATTTTACTAGGTACTGAAGCCAGTGAAATGATGGTACTGTAGATGTTTGTGTTGGGAATATCCATAATTTGTACACAAAATTGGGTTGATAATGGATTATAACTGTACTGGTTGTCATCCCTTGCCTCTAGAATATTCAGATTGACCTCTTATTCAGTGAACTTAACATTTCACATTTCTGAATATTTTTTGTAGTGTTACTTTTTCTGGTATGTAAAGCAGCATATTTGTAGATAAATGTGTTTTTAATTTTGTCGTAGGCCTATTCTTTTGTAGGTGTTTTTATTATCCGTTGCGTTATCACTCCGTGATTTTAGTCCGCAGGCGAACTATACCGACTGAGCGACCGCCGCTTGCCGGCGAAGTTCAGTGCCAACTTTTCTGTTGCATTATAATCATGAAAATTTGGTAATTATCCATTTTCTGTAATTTTTCCTTTGCTGTTGAAAGTAAGTATTTACTTTTGTCAGGTTTCGTCAGGATGTGGACAGAATGTAGATCGTGATTGGGCCTCAGAATTTGACTGCCTTGGCACTTAATATTTATTATGGTCTTCTGATATGGTCTCGTTGACTTGATTATAGACCCACAATATATAGTTTAATGTTATTTTGTAATATTTTGTGGGAAGATGGCATGTGCGTGTGTCAGTATATTTATTATTCAGACTTAGTTTGCATTTTGTGGGAATGCTTCATGTGCATGTGTTAAATGTATTAATTAGCAGTAGTACTTGAAATGGGATTTCTTGTGAGTTGGTTTACATAAAAGGCATGTGTTTTAGTATATTAAATGTGTATTATTAGCACATCCTTGAGGTGTAGATATTTAAAAATGTGAAGTAACACATCTTTCCTCCTAACTTAAATGGGTTTGATGTTGCAAGTGAATACAGTTTGAAAAAAAGGTTATGTAATAATTCAATGAGCCCTGCTTTCCTAGCAAGAACAGTCTGTTTCTCCCTCGGAGAGGAATTTAAATAACATTCCTGTAAATATGAATCCTTCAGCTAATATGCCTGATGTTGTAAATATGAATCCTTCAGCTAATATGCCTGATGTTGGAAGTTAATCTCTGTCAACTCTGCAAAACTTCATACTTCCACTTTGTGTATGTTACATGTTACAAAATGCACTGTTTACATATGCAAAAAGTGTCAGTGCAAGATTTGGTTCCTGTCAGTAATGATGGTTGTCAGTGGACATTCATGTATAGCTTGTTGCATGTGAAAAATGAGGAAGTATACTGTGTGAGTTATATAAACACTAGAAATATGTGAACTGCATATCAGTCAAAGTCAAAGTCACATTGCGACTGGCGGTGTGCTCATGACCAGATATTTATTGCTGTTTGACAGTTATAGTCTTGTTTTTGTGGGGCGTGCCCTCTGATGAGAGGATGAGTCTGTATTTTGTATATGCTGCTGGTCCTTGCCAGCATAGTCTTTCTCGGGTCCAAGTCCCTTTATACTTGCGACCATATTTTACTGTCTCAGATTTGAGACTTCCCTTTTCATCACCTACAACTTGCAGGGTCACGGAGGTATTCAACCCTGCATCCAAATGGGTGAGCATATCAGAAAGATATGCATGAGTGAACCCTAAAAATAGATTACTGGAGAATATACGTGGTCTGACAATGAAGTTAAAACTCATTGTGGTAAAAGCGCTGCATACCTCATTGCTGAAATCACTGTGGTCGTCTTCAAAAGTACTCCCCTTGGGAAGCTGTGCACTGATGCCAGTGCCTTCAGAGGTGCCATGATATTACTCCTGATGTTGTCAATGTCATCAAAATGCCTTCCTGTCCACTGCTACCACAGCAGGCATACGGTGGCGAGTTCACAGACTTCATTGTCAGATGCAAGATTTGAGGCTTTCATTGCAGTAACTGTGAAGAAAGCAGTCTTCTGGGATTTGGCACCATGTATATGTGGTGTTAACTGACGTTTTGGAGGAACGTATCGCCTCCATCTTCAGGGTAGAAGGAAAAAATATAAGAAATCCACAAGCGAAAAGAGACCATGAGAACCGGTAAAAGCAGATTGTTGTTGGAAATATACACAGCTATGTGAGAGCAGTGAAGGAAGGGGGGAAGGGCAAGTGTACAAGTGAAAGCAGTAGTGTCAGAGGGGGGGTAGCAGGGACAAGCAGGGTTTTGTGTTGGGGGAGAGAAAGGCAAGGTTAAAGGCTGGGCACTAACCCTTAAGCTGGGGGGTGGGGTGGGGGTTGTTATGTTAGTCGGTCATGGCCTGTGTAGCCTTCTGGATCTGGCGTCATATCCCGGTGGTTTTTTTTAAGAGAACAGAAATGTTTTCTTCAAGTTCTCATCTCTGTATCATCTCAGAATTAGAAATTATTTTTGTATGCATATGTAATAATTTTAATTTATTTAGCAAGCCAAACAGTTTTTAAACTACTTGCCACTTTTGTAGTTCTATTCTTTAAACACAGAAATTATATTAAAACAGATGAGACACCCAAATTTTCTTTTCATTTCCACCTGTTATGAAAATGTTATACTCATTTCCGAATTCATTTTTTTGCCACTGCTCTGTTTTGTTAGGGTATGAGTATATTTGGCCGAAAATTACCGCACTGCTGGAAAATGACTGCTGTGAACATTTTACTGTGAGACATAACATTGAGGAAATATACGAGCGTTGGAACTTTAATAGTGGCAACATTTCAGTAGAGACGCCATGCAATGGAACCAAAGAATGTCGCTTATACCACACATTAGTTACATACTTACCTTACCTCAGAGCAAATGGACTCTTCGTTCCCGCATCACGTGTACCACAGTGAAGAGAAGAACAGAGCCTCGTGTTAGCTGGTGGTCTAATGTAGTGTTATGATGTTTTTGAAACAGGAACAATGGAGTTGGGTAAAGATTGAATGTGCCAGAGGCCGTACAGAATGACAGTGTCATCATGGTCTTCAAGAGGCTTGTGGGGAATCTGCATTGCCTTACAAAACAGTGGCAAAGTGGGTAAAAGCCTTCAACGAGGGATGCCAAAGTGTGGCAGACATGAGTCGGCTAGGTCGTCCTAGTGTCAGTGAAGAAGTGTATGCTCTTTCCATGTTACTGGAGAGTGATCGACGCCATATGATTCGTGAGCTCTCCTGAGAGACGGGATTAGTGCATACGACTGTACTTCACATTCTGAAGGAACGCCTTGGCATGAGAATAATTGCATTATGATGGCTTCCGCATGTTTTGATGGATATGCAGAAATGGTATGCTGTGGCTGATTTGTTCAATCAGTGGGGCTGGGAAGTGCTGTACCATCCACTATACTCCCAGGACTTAAGCCCTTGTGACTTTGTCTTGATTCCTAAGATGAAGGAACCACTTTGTGGCATTCGCTTCAGAACTGTTCCAGAGATTCTTCAGGCAGTAGACCGCTCCATTCGAACTATCAACACAACAGGCACTGCTGAAAGTATCCTACGACTTCCTCATCACTGGCAACGCGTTGTACACAATGCTGGTGACTACATTGAAGGACAGTAGAACTTTGAAACGTGCGTCTATTTTGTATCAGTTGTAAATAAATAGTTGCCACTATTAAAGTTCCAACCCTTGTACTTTGGTATAGAAATGCCAACAAGACATGGTTAGTGTGCAGAAACACATTGTCAGTATTTAATAAGGAAGTCTGAAATGTTCTGTGGTGGGATCTGTTTTGATCCAACCTCTGTACCATGTAATTGGCTCTGGCTGCTTACAGCATTGCAGTTCAAAACATTAATTTCATTGTGTTCCTTTTACATAAGTGTATTCTCACCTTGGCGATCCAGGTTCGGTCCCGGCTCTGGTCAAGTGGGATTTGTGGTGGACAAAGTGGCGCTGGGGCAGGTTTTCTCTGAGTACTTCAGTTTCCCCAGTCAATTTTCATTCCACCAATTGCTCCACAATCACCCTCACATATCATCTGGGGCTGGTACAATAGGCCAGAAGTGGCTGCAGTACAGGGGATTTAGTCCCACCCCACTAGCAGTAAAAAAAGTACATAAGTGTATACTGTTAAAATAATTGTAGGATTTGAGGTTCTCGTAGCAGTGGTTACAAAGAGTTATTTCTTCCAAGGTCCAGTGCTGTGTAGTCCATTGAAAGTCAACATTTGCTTTGCTTGCAATGTGATCCACTCTGGTTTCCTGTTTGGCTTATTCTTCAGCCTCGAAGATGGAGGTGGCATGTTCCTGTGAAGTGTCAGTTTATTTTCAGTGGACTGTATGGTGTTATATCCCAGAAGAAAGAGCATTTATTAAAATAGTTTTCCACAAGACAGGGCATGGTTGGATGAACTAGAATTAAGTCGTTTGTTTTCTAGAGGCTCATGTATACATGCTAAGGAACCTTCAGTTTCTGTAATAGGCAAGGAATTTCTTGACTTGCTGAGTGACTTAAATTCTAAAGAAAGATGGTTGCTCTGTATATTTATTTGTAGTATAAAGAGGATGTCGGTAACTTGGATTAAATTAGTATTGAATGACTTGATGAAAGTGAAACTTTATGGAAGTCGATGCGGAAAGAAGTGGTCAAGGCCTAATTTAAAGTGCTATCTTGGAATTTGTCTGGAGTTACTGAAGATGATCACAACAATACACTCTTTCAGTGTAGTCTTTGTCTTGGCCAAGATTGAGACCCAACACCCCGTAAATACGAGTGAGAAGTGTTGCTACTCGAGCCAGATTGCTCCTTATAGTTATGTGGATAGAAATAAAAATTGTGAAGATCTATAGGGAACAAAAGTTGAGGTTAATTTGTTTACCTGCTAGTGCTTTTATCAGGGATTCAAATCCCCCCCACATGAGTGTTACAGTTTTTTTGGGGGGGTGGGGCATGTAAATGAAGTTTCAGAATGAAATTGACATTAGAACATTGATGACTACAATTGAAATTAATTTGTGGTTCTCACAACAGTGACTGTGAAGAGAAGTATCCTCCAAGATTTGCTACCATGCAGTCTGATAGAAAGGCACTGCCACCATTTTCATAGTCATAGAATGCAACTTGCTTGCTTTGTGCTTGTGCTTGTGCTTGGTGGGCTTGCTTTTCCTGAAAATAGGGTGACAGTATGTTCCTCCAATTATCACTAAACTTCCACCAGACTACCTGTACATGGTGTCAAATCCCAGAAAGTAGTGCTCTTCAAAAATATTAAGTTCAGTTCATCTTGGAACAAATGTAGCATGTTTTAAAACGATTTACTGTTATTCAGTTCACATTAATAGGCAACTCACAATGTATAAAATATGGCCCATGTTTGCCATCTTGTCTTTCTTCTGAAAGGAATGTTATTTGAAACCTCCTTGGTCACATTGGTGTTGTGTGTTTTGTTGCTGTTGAACTTCAGTGAGAGGTTCCAGTTATGTAGCTTCTGTTCTAGATCTGATCGGAGGATCATCACGTTCCACCACACCATCGCTGGTTACTCGGAAATCACCTACCATGGACCAGGGTGTGCAGGTGAACCAGCCTGGTTCGACTCCAATCAAAGATGACAAGAAACCACAGCAGCAGTTGACACCACAGTCACGGCAGATACAGCCACCCCATCCAGCTAGAGATGGGTGAGTACCTGCTGGTAACTAATTTCAAGTGCAATTAAAATTTTGTCAGAACTCTTTTATTTTATATCACGGGAAGATGGTTAGTATTTTCGTTGTTCATATGCCCTTGCTTGTTGTCTGTGTTTTAATATGTATGTTAATGTCATAAGGTAATGTTGTCCCTTTGCTTAACAAATTAAGCACTACACCATGAGGACGTATGGGGGAGTGGATGTATAGATTAACATTTTCTTGACCTTGGCACTAGTTGGAGGTGAGTGGTCAGCTTCATGCCTCAGCCGCTTTAACCCCAGGAAATAGCCCTTTGTTCCCATTGTATAGGAAGTTGGATGAACCCCAGAGCAGGTCTGGGTGATTAGACAAATGAGAATTCTTGACCCTACTGGTACTCAAACTCTGTACCCTCTGTTGTCCAGTCAATAGTGAGTCACTATACCAACTACGCTGTCCTGGCTCCTGTGTTAATACAGGGATACTATAAACGATTCATTCGTTTTTAAAACGCTATATTTTCCAAAGCATTACACGTACAAATATGATTGCTATACAGGGTGTCCCAGGAGGAATGGACCAAACTTCGGGAGGGTGTTCCTTATGTTAAAGTATGCCGATATAACCCAAAACACCTATGTCCAAAGTTGAACGGTTATGGAGATAATGNTAGCATCATCCTGTCAATGGTCATTACTGCAGCATCGATGCGTTACCTCAGCTCTGCTAGTGTTCTTGGCAGTGGGGGTACGTATACACGATCCTTAACCTTTAACGTACAGACTTTTAAATTGCCAGGAGCCCTGTATGGCCGGACTTTAAA